GCGTTGTGGAGCAGCAGGCTTCCATCATTCCTGCTGGTTTTGATGGAGTTGAAGTTGCTCGAGAGCTGGGAGAGCTCAGAACTTCAAGCCATGTGCAGTTAGCACCAGCTGGAGGACTGTCTCACACTTCCAGAGCAAACAAAATGAGAATCAGACCCTAACTGATTTTCTTACTTCAAAACAAGTGTTACAGAATTTAACCATTTCCTCCTAATGTCTCCTATATGTATGTGGCAAAACCGGAAGTTTCAGAGCAGTGTTATTTTCTGAGGCATCCAGACAAAACATGACTATGGAAAAACACTTTCTGTTGGAAGAAGATTGAAAAAAATTCCCTTTAATCTCAAATACGTCTGCATATATATTTTAGATTGAATTTTAAGAGGTGAACTAAAACCATCAAAGATAGATTTCTTCCCAAATGAAATCTTTGTTGTTGTTTAGAAAGTCATGAATGGTTTAATATAGGGTTTAACACCGAATAACTACCTTTTCCCTAACTATAATACTTTTAACAGGAAACTAATAAATGTGTTTGTGGTAAGTGGAGAAATTCCCCAGGTGTATAGAAATTTTCAGTGCTGTAATCACCAAAAGAAAGAATTTCTTTTATAGGAAGGCATGGGAATCGACAGACTCAAACATCAAATTCCAGTAAATTATATAGAACTATGTGAAGCACACGCATCAGGCAGTCTCTTAAAATAACCACCTGCTTATATGAACTGGAAAGGCGTGAAAGATTCCTGTCCTGTGTTTCAGGAGGTCAACACATAAATGGTCTTATCGAAAAATAATAGCAAGGGGTTATGGTTGGATTTAAACTGACCAAAACAGCAATAATGCCATTGAACTTCAAAAAAATGCTGTTTTCCATTAAAGTAATACATGTTAGAGGTGTTGCAGAGCTGTTACTTGTGAAATAGGTTATTTTGAACTTGTCATATTTGACTGGCAAGTATCATTCAGTACTCTATTAAAGCATAAGTAATTTCCTCACTTTAGAAATCAGAATTTAATACACATACTCAAACAAGAAAAAATGTATGTAGTTTTTTTATTACATCTGATTGAATATTTCCATTTAATGTATTCATTTACCCAAATTTTGATTAATGTGTGCTCATAGCCCATTTGGTACGCTTTTAGGTATCATGGAGTTGCAGGGATTAACCAGTTACAAGTAGCTGCTTTCAGCGATGGTGGCATTTAAAGGTTAGTTTGCAACAGAAAAGCATGGGCGGAAAGCAGTACTGCCTTAAGGTGGTAGGATTTTCTGCCAGGCGTGAGCAGCCTTCTCCTGACCCCACATGGCAGTATGCCCCTGAAGATCCAGAGAAACTCTAAAAGTCGTCATTTCCCTCAGCAGTCTCTCCTAGATATAGAAGTGGGTATTTTTGCTGTTGCTCTTAAGAAACCCACTAGCTTGGTAAGGAAGATAGCTGGGATTTAGGGGTGACAGGCTGTATTCACAGCACCACACTGGGTCAACTAAATAGGATGGAGTAGATCCAGATTCAAATTCCTTCTCTCCCTGTTTTACAGCAGATATTTGATCCAAATCTGTTCTAAGAAAGCGCCTTTATCACTATGCTGTGAATTGTTACGATCTTTTACAGTATTTCTACAATAATGTTTTTCTTTGCATAAGATTCAGTGATTTACACAGGAACCAGGATTCAAGGCTTCCGTAAGTAGGCTGGAGCAACTGGGTGGATTCTGACTTCAGGTCCAGTGAATAAAGGATTTAAACAGAGGAGCAACTTCGGTATAGCAGTCTAATAGAGTTTGCTTATGACTGAGCTATATAGCCCAGTGTTTAACAGACCCCTGTGGAAGGCAGGACACCCGGTGTTAAAACCTTGTTCCAAATCAGATTGCGTGGCAAAAGCAGCTTAGGTGCTTTGACAGTATGAACGCCTGGGAAGCCCACAGAGTTGTAGGACTTAATTCTGGTTTTCTCAGTCCCATTTCTGCAGGATACATTGGCTCCTAAAGAATGGTTCTGCTTGGTGCTTTATCACAGATGACTAAATGGATGTAACCAATATTTTAACTAAAACCAGGGGTCTGTTTTTTTTTTTTCTCAATTGTTTTTACAGAATAATTAATTGAATTGGTGCAAGTCAGTTAGACAAACCCTAAAAGAGCAATAACAATTGAATTGAATAGGCAACAAGTGAGTTCTTCTGGGCTTAATATTTCTAAGAAGTGTATTTTTAAGAGATTTTAATGCTGTCAGAACTACCTAGGTGAGAACAGGACTTTCTTTTTTAATCATGCAGCTTTTTATCTGAATTCATGTGCATAACACAACTCCATGAATTTAAAGTTAAACACATAATTAGGTCTTTTTAGGATTGGGGTCTTGCTGCTCTTTGTATTTTTTGCCCCTTAAAATGATAGTTATTTGTGTGTTTGCTAAAGCTATTTAGTCAAGGGAGAAGCCTAACTTTTATCTGTAGTCCTAGTCATTTATTATTTCCTCAGAAATTGCTTTTTTGTAAGAAAGGCTGAAACAAATCAATTTCTTTAGTAAGTCTAGGTATAGATAGTATGTGTGAATTGTTAAGACCGTATTGTTAACTTTTTTTCCCATTCGTTACTTTCAGGGAATTCAAGCACACGAAAAAATTCCTTGATGGAATTACATTTAAAACAAATTTTATGTATTTCTTTTTTATTTTCAAAAATGCGTGAGAAGACTGTTCCTTTTGTCAACAGTGTACAAACTGGTTTTATTATAGTAGAAAAAAATGTTGCTGAATTTTTAGTGAGTTCTGGTTCATGATCAGTGTTGTCAAAATAATTTACTAGATTGAAGGCTTCTTCAAGAGACATTGAAGCCTGAGGCTTCGTTCCATGGTGATTCTTTCCCTAGTGAAACAAGTGTTTGTTGTGAGTTCAGGGCGTTTTTGTTGTTGAAATCCCTAGTCCTGCAAATAGTTGTGGACTGCCTGACTGTACAAATACTGGAATAAATTTAGACTTTCAGCCCCAAAGTGATTACTTAAAAAGAGGAGAAAGAGGAAGAACAGGTTAGTTGATATAAGGTTAATTAGTCTAGCTCTAAAGGGGAGCCTCTCAGTGGTTAGTAGCTAGAAGCTGTACAACTGGAAATACTTTAATTTAAAATCCAATATAAAAGCTTCATCGGCAACGTGCAGAAACACTTAAGAATTTTTTTTTTTTTTTAATCACAGGTTTAATCTTCTCTCTATAGCACTTCCATTGAATTATTGGAGTTATGGTTGTAGAAAGCTATTTTAGCATGGCCACAATCAGGGTACCAGACTTAAAATGGGCACCTCTCACATAAATACTATTTGCCAGAAACAAACCACCCTTGGAGTTCTGTGTGGGTAAAAGGTCCCCATAGGACTGTCAGCTGGTGTCTCTCTACATCAGAATAGACAAAGGAAATCATTAATCAAACACAATGTTTTTGTTAGTCTTCAAATTAATTTTACTGCCTTCATGGATATTTAAAGAAAGAGAGAATTTAGCAGAAATGTCTTTAGAATTTTTAAATTTAAAACCAAGTCTTACCATCTTGTTCTTTGTTTCCAGAACACCACAGAATTCCTGCTTTGGAAGAGGCAAGTTGGTTGCTGGGGAATATCAACCAGACTGGCTACTTTAGAGTTAATTATGATATTAGGAATTGGAGGCTGCTAATTAATCAGCTAACAAGGAACCATAAGGTAAGCTCCTCTTCTCATCCCTAAAATCTGCTTTGATAGGTGAACCTTCACTGTTTCATCACCCTAAATGGTTCAATTTTTGTGCTTGCCCCTCACAGGTTATCTCTGTCAGTAATCGAGCAGGCTTGGTCGATGATGCATTCAATCTAGCCAGGTATGTTTTCCTGAAGATAATCTATCCTCATACACGTTGCTGCAATAACTCATGCAATCATTAACTCAGCAGCTGAGTGTGTTTTGAAGTTAAATATGTTTTAAACACACTTTAGTTCTTTTACCCTCCCTTTTTTTATGTATGGCACATAAACATGGTCTGTAGCACATTCACTGCTCTTGATCAATAATTGCTGTAGGGTATTTCCGAGTCTGGAGGGGTCTGATCAATTTTGCAGCAAGTTCAATTTAACACTTTGGAGATAAATAATCTCTTTCCTCTTTCTCTAATGAATGAGGGGTTTTTCTTCTGTTTCTCCCTAATGCCCTGCCTCTCCTTTTTTTATAATTGACCCTTGTGCTGTATTTAACTTCTGATGGAAGGCACCTTCAAGCTTCAGGAATTTTTTTTGCCCTGACTTGTGCTGTTATATCATTTTTCCAATATCTTTCTTTTCTTGTAATCTGCTAAAACAGACTCTTTTTCTGCATGATGCTTTTCACACAGAATGGAAAGTCAGAGTTCTGCTGAGCATTTCTGGAATTTATACAACATTTTGTGTTTTACTATGATCAGAGTTAATAATTACACATATAGTGCTGGTTAGGTAATGCCTTCTTTATGAATTGAGGCAATGGAATTGAACTCAGGACATCCAATATGTTGGTAGTGAAAGTGTAAAATGAGAGGAAAGTAGTGGAACATTTCAAACTTTTTGATTCTTGAGGTACCTGGGAACATTGCATCAGTAAAACACTGTGATGTCAAAAGCAGCGTGAAAAGAATTCCTGATATTACTGGCTTTTCTGTTTGCTAGCGTTTTTATAGCCATATTTGAGCAGGGGCTTGCAAGAATCGGCAGTACTGAGGTACATTTCACTACAAACGGTCACTGGAGATGTTTAAGATTCACGCACAGTGTCACACACAGGAATTATGGCTCAGTGATGTTCCAGCATCACTGCAGGAAAACACAGTTATGTGCCCTATCACACTGTTCCTGCTGCCTGTGCTACACTGAATATATGACATAAACTAATGATTAGCCCTTACTTAACAGTCCAGAGACGTAGTAGGGAAGGAGGCATCATGGGGAGAGAAGGAGTATCCATTTGCTTTTTGCACTGCCCTTCATTCTTGCCTCGTGGCATGTTCCCATTGGCAACAGTAAAGGACTAGAAATAGGTCATCACTTCAGACTTCAGTGGACTGTGATTTGTGTACTCTCTGGCTAGTAGGATATTGCAAAGTATTGTGAAATATCTAGACTATTAGAAGAACTATGTTCAGTAATGTAACGGTCTGTTCCAATTTTATTTGGTTTTGGCACCTCACAGAAGTAGTGTGCAGTTACACAGAATCAGTGTGGCGCTTTCTTCTTTTTCCATGCACTGAACGCAGTCAGATGTGGCTAGACTTCCCTGAAAATCTAGACACTTGAAAAAAGTGATTTCTTAAACTGGTTCTTGTAGGTGAGTGTTCTTCTTCTGAGTCAGTAGTGGTGCTCTAGGATGTCTTGTTCATGAAGCATAAAGACAAAGTCTTGATTAAAGGCTCAGCCTGCATCGTCTGGCCAAGTTTTGTCTACCTAAAAACCACCCAGAGATTAGATGAGTAATGCATTCCCCACTTGCTTTCCAGAGCAGTTCTATGGTGATACTGGATCCTGCTGCTTTTTCAGAGGTAACTACGCCAGAGCGCTGTGAAGTCTTTCACAAGATTTCACGTTGTAAAAACTTGACTTTCTTTTGTTAACGGTGAGCTGCAGCGGACTGCCGCTGCGTTTGCTACTCATGCACCGTGGAGAAAAGTAGCTGAGCTAAATATTTACAGTATATACACATGTACACGCATAGATATTACTTATGAGGAAATATTCTTCCAGCAGGGATACGTAGCGTGATTCCTGTTTCTTTAAAATCTCTGCACAGTCTCCTGTCAGTAGTATTCCCTTGAGTACGTGCCTTAGAATCCAGTCTAGGTAGAGGAAAGATCTGCATGTTTGCAAACAGTAGATTTATGCTCTGTATTTCAAGAGTAGCAATAAGATATGTGGACTTGGCTAAACATCTATCATCTTTCCTATTAAAAAACCCCAAGCAATTATAGTGATGCTGAAGTTAGTCTAATTGGCTAGCTGACTATATGGTACCTTTTTAAGAAGAGTTTGGTGTTTTTTGGTTTCATTTCCCCTCTCTCAGACAAAGAAAGACCAGGGAATAAGCCTAATCCTTGCTCTGTTCCTTTATCATGAGTAGGACTAGAGAGGCATTAAGAGACTGTTAGAAGAGGAGTGTGTTGGGGGCAGGCCTTGATGGCAGAGCGCCTGAACTTCTGGGAGTACGAAAGCAGATGGAGAAACTCTTGCTGGGACAAGCCATGAGGAATTGCACGCTGATGCTGCAGTGCAGCGTGGCTGCCCCTGCTGTGTCGGGTGCTCCGACTTGACACAGCAGTGTTCCTAAAACAAGCTCTGAGGGCTGTCAAAATCACACAGACCCTTTCAGTTTCCTCAAAAAGCCAGTGTTCAGAAGGCCACCATCAGTCTAAAAGCAGCTTAGCTTTCCCCCTCTTGGCCGCGAGGCGCAGTGCAGAAAGTCGCTTCACTTTCTTGTGGAGCAGTACCACGGTTTGGATGTTAGCTGCCTCGTGGATGCAGTGCTGATTCAGTCTCGTCTCCGATGTACAGCGTGTGTTTCTCCCTGACCGTATAGTGTTACGTGATGGGGAGATTAAACACATACGATTGTCTCTGACTGTGACATGAGAAAAGGTGAGTAACCTTATTGACCAGGCATAGAGGTAGTAATTCATAGTTTAGACCTCACTTCTGAGAAGACTGGCTGTTTTTAAGGGTAATTCAGTCGTCAGCTGTGGTCCCTAGTTGCACTGATACGTTATCTTCTTGTCTACAACTATAAACATACACATTTAGAGAGAGAGAAGAGAACTCTGGAATACATACTTCTATTTTAATCCCTAGCTATTATTTTCAGTGATAAAATAATGCAAAAATGAAAACATAACTTCTTAAATTCATGCTGGTCCTTTTTAAAAGTATTTCTAACATAAACAGTTCTTTTTACTGTACTAAAGAGACTGTATTTCTTCAAAATACCCCATCCTTCTTAGAAACTTCTGAAGTACTCCCTAGTGCAGTGTTGAACTTGATACAGGTAATCTCCACTCCACACCAGAAGGGTTTGACTCAATTTTTCCACTGTCCTAATATGGTATGTCCTAATATGATATTTCTATGTAGTTTTACTGCTAATTGATTTTGTTTGTGGAACAAGTACAGGTCCTATCTTCAGTAAAATCTAATAATATTTAGATCTGGAGAAAGATGAAAAAATTGCTCATATAAATTATTTTGAAGCACCACATTTTGTTTTTTTTTAAAAAAAAGATGTGTTTGATTTCATTCTTCCAAAATGTTTATTATCCTTTTACTGTCCAGCATAATGATTTCTCAAAAAACCCCAGCATAAATCGATACCTCCAAGGAATATTTTAAGCTCTATAACTTTAATTTCATAAAGTTTTGCCCATTTTGCCCATTTTATATGGAAATACATTCCTCCTTCTTCCTTTTTGGTGTATTTTGGTTCTATAAAATTAATCAAGCAGAGTTGAATTGAATAATAACAATAAAAGAACGCTACAGCTTGCCCACTGTGTTTGAATTCTTGCAAGCTTGTTTGTTTTTCAGATTTTTAAGTGTAATTCTGTTCTCAGCTGTAGTTCGTGCACGCACCCTGAGGATCTGGAGAGCTGTAGCCTTGGCAGTAGCATAGCTTATGGAAATACATGCCCCAAATTCTTGAGCAAGAATAGCACCTTGGCATTCTCTCTTCCCTTCTTCTTGAAGATCCTTTATCTTTTGGGGATGTTTTGTATGAAATTTCAGTACAATTTGAAAATATGTTGATTGTAGTAAATGGGATGTGTTGACTGAGAAAGCCGAGAGAAGACAAATAGAACTGCGGTTCTCTTCTAAGCTTAAACTGAGCAGAGGGCAGTTCAGATAGCTCCAATAAGTAGTGTCACAGGAAATAACAAAGATCCTACTCTTTCTTGAGTGTGTCAGCTTCTCCTGTCTTTCTCTTTCCTTAGGATAAGGGGTCAGTTAGTGAGTATGTGAGGTGGGATGCCTCCCACTTTACTTTAGGCATGCCAAAGGTAGACCTTTTAATCTGAGCTTGTCACCTTGCAGTGCACTGACAGTTAATGGAGAGAAACGTGCACCTGACCTCTCAATGCCACTTAACATAGGATAAGATAAATTACCCTCCTAATGTCAGGAGTGTTGTGTCACCCCTAGTTCTTCCTTGCTGGGCTCTAAATCTTCATATTTGATTCCCCTCATTAAACTGGTTGACTTAATCCAATATTATGTCAAAGAAAGAGGTCTGATTTGTATTCAGTGTTAATCAGTGTTGGATCAGATGTGATTGTGAATACCTATTTTACTGTCATCTAAAATAGTTATGGTTCTTTCCAGTTCTGGAAGAATCCATCAGTGTGTCTCACACCCCTTTGATCTTGCCTGCACCATAGTCAGCTCACCGTGTTAAGGTGGCAGGTGCTTGGTTTGCATGCCAGTTGCTCAGGAAAACGTTTTTTTTGATGCTGACAATCAGTCTTGCTATCGATTAATATCTTGTCTTTTGTTCTGCGGTTGAAGAGAGAGTGGTGGAGTTCCTCGGATACTCAGATTTTCCTGACAGTTCCTTTTCGGGTGAGGCATAGGTCTAGTGACAGCGCAGTGCATGTCAAGACTACACTCATTGGTTACACATTAACAAAGGCCAAAGATAAAACTTGACAGTAGTTTTTGCATATTTCTTAGCAGCATTTCTTTGATGTTTATCAGAAGCTTTTTCTTAACTGGATTCATGAGAAAGCATGAAGTGGTGGTGTTAAATAATTGTTCTTCTGCTCCAGGGATGGGTGGCCATGTTGGAGTGCTGTCCATTTCCTTTCACAGATTAGGGGGA